GATTCATAATTAGAATTCTGATTTGAATATATTTTCCACTCGTTATGATCTAACAAATCTTATTCATTTAGTAGCCTTTCTGTAATAATAATCTTTTACAATTTATGATTTTTATTTATTGAATACAGTAAAAAAATTGGACACCATGTGTATTTAAAGTAGTTTCCTGTCCCAGTTATTACTTTTAGTTAGGACTTGTGTATGTTTAGATTTCATTATCTTTCCCTAAAGATAAAGAATTTATCCAATGTTTGTATTCGTACAATCAGTAGAGATCGTTAGATTATTGTTTAAGGTTGACGGACACGCATATCTTAATTAGTTTTTTTTTTTTTAATTTTTTACGAATTGGTCAAACTCAAACAAAAACATTGTTTTCAATCGTTATGAGTCTCACAATTGAATAGAATTTTATTATAAATAATTGTCTTGTAAATGGAATTTTTAAAGCATTCTGAATGTTAAAAATAAAGAAAAAAGTGTGCAAGAGAATAAGAAACACTACCTGCCAGGACACTGTCAGCAGAGAATTCTGATTGGGTATTTGGAAAATCCTGGAACACCAGATCGTGTTGGACCCCACACCAATGTTGGGCAAGGGTCCATGAAAGTGTTAGATCAGAGGGGAATTACAGACAGAGAGAGTAGCAGTTGAGACAGAGACGCACTTCCATTACACGCCAAGGGGAGGCGATCGCTTTGCCAATCCCCATGTGATTTGCTGCCATGAAGAACTCCTGACTCCTGCCAGACTATTAGATAAATTGAGCAGTGTCCTGATGAAATTGCAAAGTGGAAGAATTTAAAGTCTCTATATAACAACAGAGAGAGTGAGAGAGAGAGAGAGAGAGATGAGTGCTTTATCAGCATTCTGTAATTTGCTGCCTGAAGAAGTCTTTGACTTAAAGTTTGAAATCTCAACTCTGACTTGGAAACGAAGAACAAAGTGTCACGAAATTAAACTACAAGGGAATTGTCATTAGCCTGTATGCTTGTAGGTTCTTATACGAAAAAGTTTTCCTGCATAAACCTCAGTTATATAAACCTTGTTGATTTACACAACTTTCTATTTTTGTCTTATAACATCGTCCTGCCGGAATGACACCAATCCAGCAATATCTGGCAATGATTAGATACTTGCCTGCCTTGTGATCAAAGCAAACACAGCATGAGACAGGGAGAGACCTGGATTGAAGTGACCAACTTCATGGTTAGCCACAAGGTTCAATTATGGATACACCGGTGATTGAGGACTGGACAACATAGTCATGTAACATAAGGGCTAGGATGTCCCGTAGCATTATATCATCCTGGGTATAACGATAAACTGCATCCAGCAGCAAGGCCTCTAATTAGGAGGTTTTGAAGAGTGTGGCGCCACCTCTTAATTGCTGTTGTTCCCAGGTTCAACCTGACCTGGGGTGGTAGCACCTGTTAGGATCCCAGCTATGGGTAAATAGTTACCCCCTCCTCCAAACTGAAGTCTGAATACTATGAAAGTGTAAAGATGGGTTTTTGTAGTAAAAATACCAGCAATACAAATTGCAATATATAAAATGCACATTCACAAAAACCGATTCTCAAAAACTACAAATTCTCTTCAATAGGCCACCTGTTTGCCATGAGTGGTGCCTCGTGATACCTGGGGACAGAGTCCTGGTGACTGTGTGACTCCTGATCTGGTATGAAATGACCAGGAGTTTCCACAGCACGTCACTTTGGTCACTACCTGGGATAGACAGCTAGATGGAATAGCCCAATCTATTGCAATTGGCTAGCCACATAATGGCAAAGGCTAGTTAGGATGGAAGATAATGACTCCGACACTGAATCCTTACATCATACTGTACTTGGGTAGATATGGTTGGGGAATGCGGGTGCTTGTATCCACTTTCATCACAACTATACTGTCTGTGTAGCCCTGGCAGAACAGGGTGAATGGGATTAGTCCCCACTGATAGCAAGATGGGTGAGGAACACAGATGGCGAATACAAAATACAAAGTTATATGTCTATCTCTTATAAACAAACCAAAAAACAATATGAGACTTCCAAAACGGAAAGTGAAAATGAAATATTAGAAAAAAAAATAATTTCCAACTTTCATAGTTATCGAATCATTAGATGGTGAAATAAGAAAAGTGTCACCTTTTGTGTTGCAAAAAGTTATATCAGCAATGACAGAACCAAAATCTGTAAAAATAATAAAGAAAAATAACACACTTTTAATTCAAGTAAAAACCAAAAAAGATGCAGAAAAATTACTAAAAATGCAGCAAATAGACAACAATAAAGCAAAGGCTTACCCCCACCAATTCCTTAATTCATCTAAGGGAGTAATAAAATGCCCAGAGCTGTCACTCTACTCACCAGAAGAAATTAAAAATGATGACACCCTAAAAAATCAAGGAGTAACAAACATCAAAAGAATTCAAATAAAAAGATATGACACATCAATAAACACAAACACTTACATTTTGACTTTCAGCAAACCTACTCTAATAAAATATATGGAAAATATCTTGTTCCAAGAAGCCAGAAAACAGGTTGAATCTTATTCACTTCCAACATCATATGCAAATATCACTAAAATATCAAATCACCAAAATGATATCCAAGAGAACACTGCAATAAGAAGCCAAGATTTTGCAACTCTAATAAATGAATTAAAAAGTCAACTAGAAGTACTAAAATGTAGTATATCACACATAAATCAAACTTCCATAGACAAAACAAATCCTATCCTATCCTGTCAATCTCAAACAAAAAAGAATCTATATGTACAAAACAATTAACTCCAAAAATCACAATTCAAAGTACAAGAATTCTTCAAGAAATAGAACTCTCTAAACATTCCCAAGAGAATAAAAAAATAACACAACCCAGTACATCATTGAAGAACCAAGAGAAATGGACATAGATGAACAAAACTCTATCCCATCTCAAACAAACCCTTGCAGCTAACCACTACTCAGGACAGGCACAGATTTTGACAGATGATTGATTCCAGGGGAAAAAGAGTCCCTGGTAAAATGGTTGTTTTTTTGTTTTTTTTAACTACCAACTACCTAAAATTAGGTTGGTTTTAAGGCTTTATCAAGAAAAAAATTCAGATGAGAATTTTCAAATTGTTTTTTTCATAACTGAGCTTGGTATTGCTAATGTTTCACTCTTTTAGCAGAAGACATCTTCAGGATCAAGATAAAACAATGTAGGCAGAAGTGGACTTCCAACCATGAATAACATTTACTGGAGTGACCAATGTCCATAGTAGTGGCAGTGTCAGTCAAGCAAGCTATCTTTGTAGCTGAGATGATCAGTAGAGGGCTTGAGTGCAGATAGTGTTCCATTTATTGTTGCTTCAACTAGTAGAAGGCCTGAAGAGAGTGGACAAAGAAGTTTCATAAGTGAAAAATGTAATATGAATGTTATATGTAGAAAGATTAAGGAGAACCCAGTTTTATGACATGTACACCAAAATATTTTGAAAGGATGACCTGAGGATGAGTAAGGAGGAATAATAGCATGGATATGACAGTTGATAGGAGTGTTCTGCTTTGAAGTTTTAAGTTAGTGATACAACAGTTCTTGAGAAACCAATTCTTAGAATAATTTTCACACAGTCTGTATGAAGATGTTAGTAAGAAGCTATGTCCATTGGTATGAACTTACCAAGAATATTGAGCAGTATTTAAGTCATGAGATGTCATATAAACAGCAACAATCCAGCTGAAGATCCTCCTCACTCATGGTAAAAAGTATAAAAATATTTGGCAAAAGTTGCATAGACACCAAGCTGGTCAAATAAGAAAAGAAGTTATTCTTGATTGTGTATGACAATTTCAGCAATTGGAGCAGGGGTGGGGGATTCACTTCATAAATTTATCTGGGAGTCAAACCATGACAGATCCACAAGAAAGCAACATATGATTCACTTAAGGTGTTTATGATAGACAATACTGCAGGATTTCATAATTGTGAATTTGAAACATGTTTTGACTCACAATGGAATAATGCATGTAATATAATCATCTTACTGTACTTCATCAAATGATCCAGCTGAGAAATTGGTTCAGATAGTGTCAGTGGCATTAGAGAAATTAGATGAAGGTTAATCAATTACTATTTTCATATTGATGTATAGAGTGACAGGCATATCTCCTGCAGAGTTAATAATAAACCATAAACAGTAGTCAGTTTTCTGGAACCACAATGAAAAATCCTCAAGAAAATAGATTTCAAAATTGAGTGTTTAAGGAGGTTGATATGATAATTACAAGAGGATATAGCAAGACAAGTGATTGAAGGGAGTGTTATTGTCAACAGTTGGGGTAGTAAATATATTATGTAAGAACACTGGATGGAAATGTAGTGAAGAGACATGTGAATAAAACACTTTGATGCCTTATGCACAAAGGCTTACAACATCTCAAGAATCCATTAGAAGGAACACTAACAATGGAGGCCTCTGTCAAAGTGACTGGTTTTGATGACATTCACATAGAAGATGAAGCATCCACTCTGTCCACAGAACATAAAGCAAAAGCCATTCTATGTACTGAAATCATTCCTGAACACAACTCAACAGTTTCAGGTATGCTAAAAAGCTGTTCCTAAGCCTGCTATCAGTTGGTCCAAAAGGATCTAAAAGCCACATGGTTGCGTCACAAATTATTAATAATTGATGTCAGAGAACATCTGTGAAAAATATTGATAATGAATATCATCTCAATAGCAGAGTTATTGTATTGTAGAAATTTGGGCTGCTTCTTTCTTCCAGTCTGAATTTGAACTGTCATAAGCATTTAAATTATCAGCACTTTTGCATTATTGGTTTAGGTAACCCTGACATCTGTCCTAAGAAACGGGTGTTTTTTGTGATGAAACTGGAGGAAATTTTTCAACCTGACTCACTGAAAACAGCAAAAAGGTCCTGACTATTTTCATTCACTTTAGGTATAATAATCTTATGTATTCTTTTCCTTTGTTTTTTTTTTTAGGTTTTGGCGATGATACAAGAACATGGGGACCACCATTCTGTTGTACAGAAAGTGCTTACTTTATTAGTGTTAATAGAAATAAAAAGGTAACCACTTATTTTAACATTATCTTTTTCTACTATCTTTTCATATAATTTTTCAGTTACAAAAATAGATGAGAGATATTTATAATATTGGGTTTATATATCTCACCTATGTATTTAATTTTGCTAGCACTAGAATAAATTAGCTGTTGCAGATTGTATGGAAAGAAAACTGACCCATAAAATTAATTTTGTCAGGATTTTAATTCAGGTTACTTTACCTGAATTGTACTCTTTATGTAAATTTTATATGCAATCCTTCTAGTCTAATTACTTACTGAACTATCACTCAATAATATATTGTAGAAATTAAAAATCACACATTACTTATGTGTATTTTCAAGAAGTAAGAGAAAATCATGAATGATATATAAGCTTGAGTGAGGATCAAATTGAAATTAGGATTTTGAAAACATGGACTGCACTTGAATATTGTGTGGAAGTCATCACTGCAAAAGAACATCAAATTTGTGTTCTTTAGAGCAACTGTAGAGACAATTTTACTGTATACATCAAGCTTATGAACTCTCACTATTGCTCTCATTAAGAAACAAAACTCCTTAGAGCAATACAAATAGCATCAGTACATTACCAGTGCAAACCTTTATGTTAAGTTCTTGGAATAGTGCTAGCACAGCAAGTAAGAAATTATCCTCACATTCATACTGTGGGATCCTCCTCATAGAAAATGGAATTGATAACCCATCTTGAACATCCATCAACCAAATAATGAAGGACACAGAGAATAGACCAACTACCAAAAGCCAAGGAATATCAAATTATGGAGTAGATTTGTGGCGGATATCCCCTCAAGTTGATGAGGAGATGAGAGAGAAAGAAAAAGATGGATGAATTTATTAATCTTATTCACAATCTCTTAAATCATATAGAGATCAGTCTGGTAATACAAATAAGTGTTAGCATTAGATTGTTTTTTCTTTTCAGTAGAAATTAAGTTCAGTCTCAATTGGCTTATCACACTTATAGAGTCCCCACCTAAAGAATGTGTAAACACCCTTCATTGCAATCTCCCTCATACTTCTGCTATTTATATGGTCTTGACCACCTGTACATACACACACTTCTGAATAAGATGTCTTGGAGTTTTTTCTGGAAACATGAAATTCATAAAATATTTTAATTTTGATAAACTTTAAAAAAAAATCATATTTGAATTTGGATTTGGTTATGATATGCCAAGATTTATCAGCCAATAATATTATAAGGATAGCACTTACACATGTGCATCTTTTGCATTGCAAATGGTTGCCAATATGCAAAGCACACAGAACATCATGCTTATTTAGTTTCAGGTAAATGAATCAAAAATTTGTCATACTAATATTGCAATAAAAGAAATGTGAAGAAACAGGAGCAACAGTAAAGAGAGGCAATGTATTTTAAAGAGACAGAGATATTTCTAAATATGTTAACTAAATACTAAGAATGTATACCTAGCTTATTTATTTCTTTAAATTTGGACACTTGATGTTTTAAAATTGAACTTGATTCATTACATTTTGATCTTAGTCAAGAGAGCAAAAGAGATGATTTGGTCCCCTTTCTTTCTCAATTTTATGTGTTGATATCAAAATATAATCTGTCATATTTATTCTTCTATCCACCTCTAATCTTTTCTTTTTACTTTTATTCAGAGTATTGTTATTGATTTAAAAACAGAACATGGGAAGGATTTAATACGAAAGGTAAAATACTTGGCAGTAGCTGTTTTGTCATTGATACATTTATTGTTTTTCTTTGGTTTTCTTTAATTGTTGACTGTTGATTTTTTTAAAAATTATTGACTTTATTTAAATGCTCAGCTTGCTTGTGTCAGTGATGTCTTTCTTGAAAATTACCTACCTGGAAAACTATCTGAATTTGGCCTTGGATACTCTGAGCTGTCCAAGATAGCTCCCCACCTCATCTACTGTTCAATTACAGGTAAACAGTATTATTGTAACTTTTATAGAGTCAGGAATAAATGTTTTCTTTCAGTTGTTCATTAGTAAACATTTAGCTTTGTTCTACTATCTTCTGCTATCTTTTAAGCAACTTCATAATTATATTATTTTTTTGAGATAAAGAACTGTTCCGGAAACAGTTCCAGGAAATAAAACATTTATTGCATTAAAACTATAATAAATGGTCATGTGAAAGTGCAATATCTGGTGTATATGACAGATGAGTAAAAACTTCCCATCCAAATGGCAACCATTTTTGCCTAACCACCAAAGAAGCATGCATTCCAGCAGTATCTTGAAATATCATGTTCTTTTTTCACTGTCAGTTGGTTTTTTTTTTTTTTTTTTTTTTTTATTATTGCCTTCATCTATGTAACTGGGAGCAGCAGATGTTTCAATCAATCATTTGTTTTTCTGAAGAATCTCACAGCAGAAAACTTCTTTTTATTTCCAACATATATACATCATCTTATTGGATGAAGATCAAATTTTAGTGCTATCAGTGATGATTCTTCTTGTTTTCTCTCACAGACTTTTACATTCCATATTGTAAAGTCTCTACTTTTCAATCCCAATCAGGCATTGTTTAAAAATGGAATGCTTTTGTTATATTTTGTGAATCACACTTGTTTTTTTTTACTTATGTTGTTACACATAAAAGAACAAATATAACCAAGTTAGGGCATATGATTTTCAGTACGTATATATTGTTGATTGTTTTCAAGTAATTTCTTGATATGATTAATGTTCAACTCTTTTACCTAAATGTGGAGCATCATTCAGCAAGTAATCTTGCACAAAACTCTGATTTCTGAATTAACTAAATGTTCCTAATGTCATTTAACAACTAAAGTGAACAAAATTTTTGGCTAACATAGTAGAATAATTTGCTACCAATATATTCTAAGGTAACCCCTTGAGATTGATATTATATTGGATTATACAGAATTTTCTTTGTTGTGGCAATGAGTTATTGATTCATAGTGCATGATTTTAAAGGACTTTTGAATTTAGTGCAGACTGACAACCTATAAACAGACTGAATTTTAATGTTATAAAAGAGCAATACACAAGTAGAAATTGAGTTTTTGCAGTTTTCTTGCACAGTATTTATAAAATGCAATTTTTACATATATCATTTATGAATATGGGCGAAACATTTTTTATATCATTTTCGATTTTAGTAGATGTAATATTATTTTTAAGGCTATGGACAGAATGGACCCTATGCCAAGAGGCCTGGTTATGATGTTATTGTTGCTGGTGTAGGAGGTCTGGTACATACTACAGGACCCCAGGTAAGAAAGCATTCACTCATGCAATCATTGATGTGTTTGAAGGTAAATGTTTATGAATTGATTTGGTTTGCAATTAATCTGTGTTTTAAGTTTTACTTTTATTTCCATTTGTATTTTTAATACTTAGCCTTTATTGAGTTGGATCCAATCAAAATTTGAAAAAGATAAGTTTATGATTGTATTTTGAGATAAAAATTTGGTCAATATATTTTGATTCTGAATAATTCTTTGAAACTAAATAGTTTCAAAGAATTATTCAGAATGAAGTAGAATGAAAACTATATCCAATTTTCTTTCAGTAAAATTGATATTTGTAATGTGTCATTTTTAAGAAAGGTTTCAATGAAAAAGATATGTTTCAACACATGTCAATTATAATCTTCTCTCAATATGTACTGAGATGCTAAAAATTCAGCTTTTTGTATATAGTGACATCATATCTGTGATTAAATAAACCTTTACACTTGTATTGATTTGTTTTAAAATAATTATAAGAACTATTGCATTTTAATGAATTTAACTATTTATGACAAGACCTAAAAAATGCATTTTCTATATACTCACTCTATTTCAACCATCTAGTGGCATAGGCAAAATGGACTTTCTCTGTTTTGCATAGTATTATAACTCCCTGTTGAAGGTTATTGTTATAACACACACTTGTACTTTGTATAACATAATTTGTTAAAGTATTCTTTATATGTAATTGCCGTAACGCTTGTATAATTAATATGAAAACTGACTTCAATAGGACTACTACCAACCTCATACCATGGAACTTTTTATAGTATTGGATGAGTTCATAGAGTCACTGGGGATGTACTCTTTACTCCACAACATTACCCCTTTTGAGATTACTACTTTATTAAATAAATATATTTTTTATTTTTATTTCATATTAGTATCTCCCCCTGCTCTTTCTGGAGAGTTCACCAACATACTTTATTTTGTAGTGTTTCCATTTTGGATCAACTTCTAGTTCTTCTGTACGTTTTTTCTTTTTCTTTGAAATTGACCTTGTTGGTTCCAATATTTGGTTTGGTACTGGCACATCAAAAATGTCATACAGTATTTTAACTGGTTTTTCAGGTCTTTCATCAGTTAATCTTTTCTTCAGCTAATTTTGGTGCCTTTTATGTTGGAATTTTTTTCCTTTCACCATATAGACCAATTTCCCGATTCTAGCTGCTATTATGCTGTCTTCCCATGTTTCCCTTTCATCCTTGTATGCTCTAAAGAATACTTTATCACCAACCTTAAAATTATTGGTGTGGCTTTTATTAACTGTCTGTGATTTTTGACTTGGAAATAACTTGTCGAATACCTATTTTACTCTTCTGACAAACATTAATTTGACCAGTGACTTACCTGATAGTGTGTTAGGGTTAGGTGTTAACCAGTAAAAAAAAAAGTTCCTCCTCATTTAATTTGTCCAGACCTGTTTTTTCAATTATCTTTTGAATGTTCCCACAAACCATTCTGCTTGTCTGATAGACCTTGGGTGATATGGTGGGGTTATATGTTCTACAGAGAACAACCTGCAAACATTCTTTTCCAGTAAATTTTGTTCCATTATCCAATATTATGGTATCTGGTATGCCATATCTTGCAAACAGTTCATGTAAGAAATTCACTGTCACTTTCTGTCCATTTTGTAAAAATATCAACTACCACTAGATAATCTATGCTGTATCCATAGGACCTGCAAAATCTATATGCAATCTTGACCACAGAGTTTGTCTTTGGCCAAGGTTCTATATTTGTGATAGGTAGTTTTGCTGCTAGAGCACAACTGCTACATGTTTTTACTGTTTTTCCAATATCTTAGTCCATTCCGGTCCAGTATACAAAACTTCTCATGAGATTTCATTCCTGAAATACCAGGATGTCCGGAATGAAAGTCCTTTAATATACGTTTCTGTAACACATTCAGTATTACAGTTCTTTGTCCGTACATTACAACACTATTGCATATTGAGTACACATTCAGTTATTGTGTTCTTTTATAGTTTCTTTTAATTGCTTCTTTATTTTAGCAATAAAGATATCCTTTTCTGATTTTTTAAAAATTTTATCCAGTGTAACTTGTAACTTCTTACATGAATAAATTTATGGAATTTTTTTGTGGCGAATATGATCGCTAGAGTTTCTTTTTTTATCTGGCTGTAATTCCTTTCTACCACTATAAGCAACTGTGAAGCATGAGTGAAAGCTTTCATTTTACCACCATAATATTTGTGTAAAATTACCACCTTAACACTGTAATCACTAGCATCTGATGCTACTACAATTTTTGCCTTTGGATCGTAGTGCACTAACGATAAATTAGATATAAGACCTATTTTTTATCTCGTCAAGCACTTTTTGACATTTGTGATCCCAATTCTAATTTACTCCTTTTTTCATTTGATTATTAAGTGGAACCTGTCAAATTATGTAGATTATGTACATAAATTCGATAATATTTAGTCAGTCCTAAAAAAACTTGTAATGTAGTTACATTTGTTAGTGTAAGCCTTTTTCTAATTGCATATTCCTCGTTGGATCTGGTTTTCTACCATTTTTAGCAATAATTTATCCCAGGTATTTTTTTTTTTTTTTTTGCAAGAATAATTTACATTTTTCTTCACTAAGCTTGAATCCATATTCTCTCAGTTTTACATAATTGTTTTGACATGCCCAACATGTTCTTCTTTCAACATAACTCTTGATCAAAATATCGTCCAGATATGCCATTGTGAAATCATGGTATCTATGGCTCGTTGAAAAATAGCTGATGACACCTTTATACCAAAAGGAAGTCAATTAAACTTATATAAACCTCTGTGCATATTTATGGTTGTAAATTCAGAACATCGATTTTCAATCTAAATTTGTAAATATGCTTCGAAAATATTTTTCTACTATTTAACTTCCCCATAATTTTTTCTAGACTTCATAACGGGTAGTTGTGCATTTCAAGACAATTATTGAATCCAGTTGAAAAATCCACACAAACACAAATTTTGTCATTTATTTTTCTTTACATTCACTGCTGGTGAAGCCCATTTTAAATGGTTTATTTTCTGCAATACACTAGTTCTTTCTAGTCTGCCCAACTCTTTATTTACTTGTTACTAATGCTGTGAAGGGTATGCTCCATTTCAATTTAAATATTGGTGTTGAACATTTTTTTGCTTGAAAATTCACCTTGAATTTTGAACAGTTCATTAGACAGAATATCAGGAAAACATTTTTGTAATTCTTCCTTCAATTTTTTGCTGTGACTCTTTAAATTTGTCCACTTACATTTTTACAATAAGCATTTACCAGAAAGTCCCACAGTTTAAATAGTTCCATCCAGTCCATACCAAATAGATTTATCGCATTTCTTAGACTTTTTGTTTTCACTTGCTTATTTTAAAAATAATCATCACATGTTAATTCTCAAAAAAAAAATTCTTGCCAGAAACTGAAGTTGCAATTTTGTAAGTTTTTTTTAATAAAGGTTTCCAATTTCTTCCCATGAGGTTTCATTGAAATGTCACTACCAGTATCTAGTAACATTTTTATTCCCACATTATTGATTTGCACATTAACAAATTTTCTTTTGTTTTGTGTACTATTTTTTTCTGTTGCAATAGTGTGTATTAATTTCTTCCTGCAAAAATCTTTTCTTGGTTTAGTTCTGCAGTTTTGATATGTCCTTTTTTACTACAGTTATAGCATTCTGCATTTTTCCATTGACAGTCTTTACCAAGATGTAATTTTCCACATCTGAAACAAGGTTTTATATTCCTTTTTGTGCATTTTTCCTTAGCTTTTATCAATGGACATTTTTTATTCTGAAGTCTTTCAGAATCATGCTTCAGACTAAGCATTGTTTGACAATTGTCTACTATTTCCTGTAGTGTTACATTATTATGTTCAATCTTTGCTAAAATTTTCATTCATACCTCAGCATCTTTTTCCACTTTTAGACCCTGTATGAAAATTAATCCCTTGAACATATCTGCAGTCATTTTCTTTAGTCATTTCCTTTCAGTCATGAACTTGTTCATGTTCTTTGTTGATGGTACCCACATATGTGATAAAATCTTCATCCTCTTTTTTGGTTAAATTCATGCACCTCCAATGAACATGAAACAGAGAACACTTGTCACTAAAAATTTTCATCAGAATGTGTACTGTGTCTTCAAACCCTATTTCACCTTTTTTTTCTTGGTTAAAAATAATTGCAGTAATTTTTGTACTCTATTGGCGCTATTTTTCTTAACAACAACCTGCTTTTTTTTTTTTATTATCCTCCCAGTCACTGCATTCCTGACTAAATATTTCTTCATTTCTGGGAAAATATGCAGCAAAAGTCAATCCATTATCAGACTTGTATACAAATTCTGATACAGTGTTTTGCACCACATCTAGCATAAGAGACATTGACACATTCTTCTTCAAAACTACTTCCAACAAGTCTTGTTGTTTTTGCAATTGTAGCAACTGTTGGGTATTTTGTTGTTGCTTCTGTTGTTATTGTTGTTGAATTTCAACTATTGAAGCCAAAATTTTCTCCATATTCACAAGAATATTTTTTCTGCACACAGGACAAAAATATTTTTTTTAAAAATCATGTGGTTGAAATTCTTGTAACTCCTGTTGTATGTGTATAAGTTTAAAAAATCTGGTTGCTCACTGTTATGACCAGTTATAATATGGTACTGCATTATAATATTACACTTGATTTGGGGATCTTCGTCACCAACTGTTATAACTTCAGTTATAATGTTGTGAATTTTTATCCCATGCTTGTTTTTTAGTATCCTCATCACCAACTATTTAATTCCTATTATAATGTTGCAAATTTTTATCCCACGCTTGAGTTTGAGTATCCTCATTGACAACTATTATAACTGCCTATTGATGATTATTGTTATAACACACACTCATGCTTGGTATAACATAATTCGTTAAACTATTCTCTATACACAATGCGTGTATAGTTAGCATGAAGACTGACTCGAATA